TAAAAAAATTTTTTTTTTTTATTTTTTTTTTTATTTTTTTTTTTTTTGTAAAAGGGGTTTTTTTTTTGGGTTTTGGCCTTAAAAAGGTTTTTAGTTTTCCTTTTTTTTTTTTTTAAAAAGGGTTGGGGTTCCCGAACCTTCCGGGCCCCCCCCTTCCCAAAATTCGGGGGGGACCCCCCCCCCCCCCCCCCTCCTGGGCCTTGACGCCATCAAATGTGTCTTTACTCTTATAGAGACGATTTAAAACGTTAATTCAAAATCACAGCTTAAGTGTGCTAGAAGTCCACTTCCGGTTGACGTGCGCCGCTCAAAAATGTCGCTGCTTTAACTCCCTTTTACTTCCTGTAGTGACAGGATACAAAGACCGTATCATCGCATGTATACGGGAATCCGGATTCCGGAATCTGGAAATTTTGCGTTTTGGATCCTGGTCTTTGGAATCCGGAATCAAGGATTCCGGAATCCAAGTTCGACTGACAAAGAATCGGGAATCCCGTACCTGGAATCCAGAAACTACTGCGTGTAATCCAGAATAGAATCCAAGATTAGCACTGTGTTAGATTCCCTTACAAGAAGTGATTATAGGGCTAAAAAAACAATTTAGCTTAAACTACAGCATGTGCTAACGGACAAATCATGGTAACAGCACTGCCAAAGACGGGGAAGAGCAAAGTTAATGGACCTTAGAATTACAGATACCAACTCTGCATCAATTTTTTTGCGAATGCGATGTTTACGATCGAAAGTGACCTTTCTCCCTTATTGGATCCCACGATCACTTGACAAGAAAAAACAGCAATTTTCCCCTATAGTGGATTCCGTTGTTGCTGCTTTAACATTCAAATTGTGCCAGAATCAGTATAATTCACGGAAAAAAATTCCAACCCTTAATATTTAATTTTGAATACGAATCGAAAGTGGACGATTCCTAGCTCCAGCACTTGAAAACAATTCCTGATTTTCTATGGCATCTGGCAATCAACAGCCATACTCTTATTCAAATCAATAAACCAATCTAAGAAAAATTTGACAAGTCAGGCAGAAATTGTACGGAACACATGTTTGCTACAGATGCTCTTAATATTAGCTTAATGAAGAATAAATCTACGTGTTGGAGGTAAGGCTTTATCCATCATAAATCATAATTATTATGGCCTTCATCAACTGGAGAAAAACATTTTATAGATTTATTATCTTAATATTTTATGAGACAAAAAAGTTGTTCGCGTTTCAGTCAGGACATGTTTACCACCACGCTATATAATAGCTTTTTTTTTTTCTTACACGTTTTTTCTATATCATAAGTTAAAACTAACCGCGTTTCCATGTAGTGTTCTTACTTCGTGTAAGTTAACTTTTAGCAGAAATATTTTAAACTAAATATAAAAGATCTTCGAACCTCAAGCCTCTTACGCCGGTGTCACGTGTCTCACGGAAATGAAAAACCACATATCAATTTGTATATTTAGTCAGATAAAAATATGTTGTTTAGTTATAAATCATATTGGGCATGTTGTGAACTATATGTTTGCAATAGTTGCAACAATTAACTGGACCGAAAGATCTTGGGAAGCTGATGAAACAAACTGTGAATGGGGGCTTCCATAAACCATAATCTTTTGGGTCTCAAGTATGGATTTTGTTGCCTTCAATGAAATGGAAACAATTTGCTTGATTCTAATGACATCATTTGGTAAGTCACAAAATGAGCTGTTTGAAGCGTGCACTAGAAAATACGAAAAAAAGATAAAAATTCACTTCGTCATTAAAATAACGTCAAAGGAAAAACATTGCTTTTCAGTTTTATAAGAGAAGGGCTTAAGGCCCAAATTAAGCAATCCTGATATTGAGTCTCAGCTAAGAAAATTNTCTTACGCCGGTGTCACGTGTCTCACGGAAATGAAAAACCACATATCAATTTGTATATTTAGTCAGATAAAAATATGTTGTTTAGTTATAAATCATATTGGGCATGTTGTGAACTATATGTTTGCAATAGTTGCAACAATTAACAGGACCGAAAAATCTTGGGAAGCTGATGAGACAAACTGTGAATGGAGGCGTCCATAAACCATAATCTTTTGGATCTCAAGTATGGATTTTGTTGCCTACAGTGAAATGGAAACAATTTGCTTGATTCTAATGACATCATTTGGTAAGTCACAAAATGAACTGTTTGAAGCGTGCACTAGAAAATACGAAAAACAGAAAAAAATTAACTTCGTCATTAAAATAACGTCAAAGGAAAAACATTGCTTTTCAGTTTTATAAGAGAAGGGAGGGCTTAAGGCCCAAATTAAGCAATTCTGATATTGAGTCTCAGCTAAGAAAATACTCTCTTATTTTTTTATTCTCATTTTTATTTATTTATTTATTTGTTTATTTTCTGGGCAAGTGCTAGTGAACCCCGAAGATGGAGTGTTCTTCATTACACGGCCCAAACACAAGGAAATCTTCGTTGGCGAAGACGTACAATTTGATTGGGAATACGCGCGAACCGACGTTCAGGAAGTTAGCTTCGGAGTTATTCTACCTGATATTGGGGAGATGACTATTTATAGTAAGAAAAAAGATGGAGGAACAGTATTTAATAACGCTTATCAAGCCATCGACTGGATCAGGGACAGGACTGAAATTGTCTCCAACAGACGGGCAAGTTTTAAAATTAACAGAGTTCAGATGAAAGATACAGGGACCTATTACTGTACTTTGGTCGTGGAATTGGTTCACTATATCAGCACAGTTCGATTAACAGTCGTAGGTAAGTACGAAAACAAAGAGTGTAACCGGTACAACCCTGCTGGGAGTACGGCGCTGAAACATAACTTGAAATGGCTTCGCTCGATAATTAGGATCAAAAACCATAGACAAGCTTTTTTCAAAATTTGAATGATATATTTACTTGGATAGTTATCGATCTTGAGAATATAATTGATGTACAGGGAACCATTAAATAGTTTCTTTTCGCGTCAGTCTTACTTTTTTTTTGCTACGTTCCGCAGTTTCGGGCTAAGTTGCCCCAGCCTTACATACCAATAAGTTGAACTGCATTGTACTTTTACTAATTTAATCTTCAATCATTTTTCAGTTTTAATGCAAGAACTCGTCAAATTAAAAATGTCTAGTTCCTTAATAAAATGTCAGTCAATACTGTAAAATAATCATTTGTTGAAAAATACGCATCAGTACCAGTATAAAAACATACACCTTTAAATTCAGATATATTATTGTGGAAGCCTAAGGTAGTAAATTTAAAATTTTTTTTGGTCATAAATTCTTAAAGTGAGGCAAAGTGAAGCGAGGATAAAATGCAAATTATATTTTGTAAAAACTCTATTATTAATTAGGATACAAAAAATGTCCATGAGTCAGTTAGTCAGTTTTGAAATACAATTAGCGGAAATAAATAGCAAAAACAAAAACCACATAGAAAAAACTAAATACCTATTAGTGGAAGGAAATTTGGAACTCATTAGTCAGCGTAAGTGAATATGGTAAAACGACAAAACTAGACAGGATTAAATACATTTCACAGAATGAAATAATTATTACTATGCTGATCGCTAATCGAGTCAGTAGCCATGAGAAAGTTCTGTGACCAGTCTTACAATATTTTCTACAGACTTACATTTTCTGAACAAACGTATTTTTTGAGCACTTTGCTCTGCTGTTAATTTAATTTTGATCCAGGAAAAGGGAGACTCTGATCCTTTATGATGTGTCAGGAGGCTCCTGGATGTGTGTATTATTTTAAGCCAGGATTTTAAGCCATGGTACAAAAGACTTCCAGGAGGCAATGACCATGGTCGCAGATTGAACTGAACTTGTCTCCAGGTTTCTTACTGTTTTCAAAATCAACCATACGTACATACCCCCGCACAAATGGAACTATCAGTCAATATCACCCTGACGGGTATTTTGTCTGTACTTCTTCATCTTTAGATCTTTTGATTGACAAGCAGCTCTCGACACAAACGAAGGAGACCTGGGAAGGACACAAGATTACAATTCTGTGTGCAGTAAGGCTACCACCAGGACAAACAGGGGTTAAGTTTTCTTGGATGCATATTCCTTCAAACAGAACTGTCTCCAAACAATTTCATGAAGAACTGAGAGGCAAAAGTTACTTGACTATAACAACAATTAAAGATGAAGACTTCGAGTCACTGCAGTGTAGAGCAGAGACGGCGTCTACCGTGAAATTTCACGTCATTGACATTATTAAGCTGAGTGAGTACATAGATTGGTTTTATTGAAAACCTCGAGGAGCTTCAAGGTCAGGTCTCTTTTTTTGGCAGATAAAACAAAAGCCTTGTAGTTCCTCTTTCCATTGGATTAAACGAACGATGGAGCCTTTGCCACCATGATAAATTAACTCTATATCACGTGGTCGCGCGTCGACCAATCAGACATTTCTCAACGATGAAGAGGCAGACAGTCTATACACTGAATCTTACGCATGTGCCCTGCTATGACCCTATCAGATTACCAATGTAGCAACAGTGTGCATCCGACACTTTTCTAATCGCCTGTTCCATTTGAGTTCACTGATAGACAGTGAATACCTAAAAAACCCAGAATGGAGGACTTGCAATAGAATATACCGGCAGAATTTTACTAACACAGGTTATAACTGTAAATCCAGACTGCAATCACGTTAGGAAATCCTCTATCACCTCTCTCCTCCGTAGAGGCTCCCAGTGGGTATTCAAATAAAAATAGCAATAATAATAATAAAAAAATATTAAGCGCGCAGTGGATGATGGGAAGTGAGAAAAGGCCTCTCCTCCTCTTTTCCCCTTCCCATCGTGCCCCGCGCGCTTTCATTTTCCTCCTCTCCCCAGCCTCCCTACGACGCAACAACATGACTATAACATATACCGTATCGCAAAAGCTATTCATAACCAATCATCGATTCATATATTTATTCTTAAGATAACTTAAAGTAAGTGGGTTCAAACCTTTCACCGTTTTGAAGTAAAGTCAAATTAAATAAAGTAGATCCTTGCGTATTTTAAAAGAGAAACCTCTGCGGTAGAGGGAGCTAAAACACGAAACCGTTAGCTAAACCGTTTTTAATGTTTATCCTTGCAGATGCCCCGTCTGAACCTAGAAATCTCAAAGCAGAAAGATCATTGGACAATAAAATTCAACGAACATACATTCGGCTCAGTTGGGATCCCCCTGCAGATGACGGCGGGGCTGCGTTAAACTATATCATATCGTACAAACAATGCGGCCTGCTGGGGAAGTCCCCAAAGACGCTGGAGGCTGAAACCAGTGAATTTATGGAATTGTTTCTCCCAGGAGGGAGTAGCTATCGAGTTACTGTGAAAGCAAAAAACAAGGCGGGCATTGGTCCACCATCAAATAAGTTAGTTGTCAATCTTGGTAGGTATTAGTTGACTCTTCTTTCTTATCTGTTCCTTAGTTAATGCCCAAAGTACGCGTGGGAGCCAACGCCCTTTACTCGAAATGATCATTCACCCCACAATCGTGGACAAATTGAAAAGAAGACCAACGGATTTTCAAGATTATTTGCCTTACCTTGTCGTGGCGTTGGCCTTTTTGGGGGCTCCCCTTTAAAATTTTTTCCTTTAAAACGGACATTGCAGCAGGCAACTTTAAGTCTCTAGAATACAACTTTCTATTTAATAGAGAGCTCATTCAAACATTATCAAGCAAAAACGACTTGAGGCCAAACTAAAGAAGTGCCCATAAGAGAGATTTCCATCCCTTCTACCCTGTTCCTGTAGGAGATTAAACTACTTTTCATGGCTTAAACAGCTAGTTTTAGGCAATGGAAATATCATCATCATAGTTTTTCCACCACGTGATTTATGTACTAACTCTTTATTTTATTTATCCTTTAGAGGACGTTCCTGATGTGTCTAACCTTCACGGAAACAGCCAGTCTCATAATCACATGATCATGATGCCATTATTTCTCTTGCTTATCTTTTCAACCTGGTTCAGTTCTGTATAAAATGGACCCTGAACAACGTACCAAAAGTGATATCCTTCCATTAATAACTCGGTTACGCTTTATACAAATGTGATGACACATTCTCGATTACCAACCGCTGTTCGTGAAATGAGCCTGCGCTCCTTCCCCGAAAAGAGCTGCGGAAATCGAGCCTAGATCCTGGAGTGTTCTCTTCAAATCCTTCGATTACAAGGGATTCATAAATCAGTTCCACTTTTTTTTTTTCTGGAAAAGAGGGATATAAATGAAAGGTTGGCCGGCCAACCTGATCGTCCCGTAGATGAAACACATACTTTCTAAAGATTATTAAAAGTATGTCTTATTAATATTCCAAGTTTACCTTTTGAACAGTGATTTCTTCACCGAAAGCTGACTCAATGTAGCGTAGTATATCTTGAATGCAAACAACAACAACTTTTTTCGGCCCGTTAGTTATATCGGGACTTTCAAGAAACTGGCCCCTATGGGCCTTTAAAAGGAGCGGGGTTAACTTTAGTTGTTGTTATTATTTTTATTATTATTATTTAACCCCTTCTTCATTCAAAGGGACAACTATGGGGGGTGAAATGTTGTTGTAACTTATTTAGTGTTTAGTTTTCACTCTGCGTCTGTATTAAATTAAATGAAATCCTATGTTGAGACCATTTTAATGAAACCTCTCTAGCAGCACTTTTACATCACACTATTTGTAATTTTTTTCCTGTATTTTACTAAATGAAATACAGAATCTTTCTTGAATTTCACATGGTTTCTGTCAGAGTGAAAGGATCAATAACGGTTTTGCTCTGATAGGCTAGTTCGCGGCGAACATCTATCTTTCGATATCTTAAATTGACAGGAGTACCCTCTCCAGAAGTATAATCTTCAGCTTACACTAACAATTCGCCTCGGGGATCTTTAACAAGTTCTCGGGTGATTTCAAGTCGTCGCAGCCGTCTGGTGACAAAAATTCCTGTTGAATGAAAGCGAATAACAAGTTCTATTGAGTGGCACTGGGAGTGAAGTATTCGGTGACTCATGCGAAATACACTCTTTGTGCATGTCGTGTGGGAGTCTAGCCAGACAAGGATTGTTAGGTCCTCTTATATATTAGGCTGATTTAGCAACAGGATGGGAACGTCAGTTGACGACGGGAAAGCGTGCGGAAAGGACTAAACACGACTACCGGTGCCCAATTTGTCGCTCTGCCATTGGTCAAGCTTGGTCAAGCTACTTGTTTAATTTGCGCGCGCCGTCATCAACTGACGTTCCCGTTCTGTAGCTAAATCAGCCTATTAGTTAAAGTAGGAAACATGTGGTTTCGAACCTTAGCAGGAGCTGATATCTACCAGCAAGGAAGGATTTCTTATATTACTTGAAAGAGGTGACATAATTACAAAAATATTTGCGAAAGAAATTATTCGCTAAAGGATGGGGAGGACCCGCGGCGAGTTAAGTTTGGGGCCTGATCTCTTATTTCCCGGCCCCGATGAATCGGGGAAATAGGAGAGAACGGGGCCTAGTGGTTGGAATAATTTCAAAAGAGCCCTCTTGAACATTTTTAGCGGAAGAACTGTGGCATTTCTGAGCCTCTCCACATCTTTAAGCAGTTCACAAATCATCCCACTGTCTGTTTTAAAGTACTTAAAGTGTTTGCAGAGCTTTCGTCGTAAGCACTTGTCGGCACAATGTAGAACAGAGAAGACTGGCACTGCTCGTATAACAGAACCGATTCCTTGGCGATCGTCTACTCGGTGATAAAATGATACTTTGGAAGGATCGTGACACTCTTTAAAAGACGTTGAATAAATCATGAATTAGTGGTTCTTTTTAGGCCTTCCTTAATTGCGAGCAGGATTACTTGTGCGAGTTCAAGGAAAATTTTTGGCGGCGGCGCGCGAGAGAATTGGGCCCATTCCTCTGACGCGCTGGAGACTCCACCGCCAAAACGTTCCCCGAAGTCGCACTAGTGAGCCCGCTCGCAAGCTACTGCTATAAAGACGCTGACACTTTATTACACTTTTTAAGTTCTTACCTTCTAATCAATAATTAATAGCAAGACTAGCCATATGCGTTACGGGAATGAATCTCAAAGCCAAATGATCTTTCAGAAACCATTTCTTTAGACATAAAAACAACCCTACGAGCGAGGCGCTGCATAGAAACACAATTTAGAAACAACCCAATGTACCGAGGGATTTCGCCTACCTACCGTTATTTTTATCGAAACATAACTAATGAGGACGTTGGGGTTTTTTGTTTTTATTTTGTTTATTTTTTATGTTATTTATGTTATTTATATTTCTTTTTAAGCCCTGCGGCGATCGACTTCGAGACTCCGGCCATAAGTTCCACAACCAAAACCGCACGGCCACAAGAAATTTTAGATTTATCCTGCAATAGCTAGCTATTCCAATAAATATATGCAAGTGGGATGTTTTTTGGTGAGTAAAAATATTAAAGTTAACCGGTATCAAGCAGGAGTCCTGATCCATTAGTTACATGCACAATTATATGATATACCAAGAGAGGATATCCCCCTTGGATTTTTTAATACCTCATGTTACGAATTTAAATAGACAGCTTACCAGAATTACATTTCCCCAGCTTCGTGAGTAAAGCCTCGACGAATATAATATATAAAAGCTGCATTTTTGACAAAGTTGCTCGGTTTCTGTAAAATATCCCGTTCTTCGTCTTGGCGTCGGCGATATAAAGTGGCAGACCCAGGACGTCTTTCTGGAATTCACATTAATTTTTACCTTTAAAGGATTTTGGGTTTAAAGATTAAAATAAGAAAACCGTACAAATCCAGCCTGATCCAAATGTGCTTGATTTTTCATAGGTATTCAATTTCTCAGTTTGAAACCCTTCCGGCCACTCTTGACTCTTTTCCGGCCAATAACATAACATTCAATTAGTTATTCCAAGTTTGTCGGAAATAGAATCGCAAATTGAAATGTGTCATTATATCTTAGACTTTGATACTCTTACCGCTGTGTTAGTAACTGCTTGTGAGGTTTTGCCGCTTAAAGATGGTTATTAAGATTATCCAATCGCCGTTTAATTTATGACCTAAGAGAGATCAAAAGAGTTTTCAATACTATTATTATGGATCATCGCAGTTCTATTAAGCAGATTGCGACAGAATTAGCTGAAAATAAATGAAAAATTTAAAAGAAGAAATGTTATCGTGGAACGATGTTAGACTAAAACAAATGAAAATATCGCCAGTTGAAATTTTCTCCAGAGGTACAGGAAATGGTTGATTTAAAAAACACTGCATAGTAAGGAAAGCATTAACTCTTCTTCAGCTACAATCTTGTATTTTAAACCACCCACGGCCACGGTATGAGTTACATTTACTTTATTTCTTTAAGCAATAAAAAAAGTAAATAAATAAGTATTACCATTTTTTCCTAATAACTGAACTTTTCACCTGCCGATTGTCATCTCGTCCCCAGGGTTTTCTCATTTCGAGAAGGCCCTGGGGACGAAGCTTATGCCGATTCTTGCGTCTACATCGATGCCTCGTACGTGTTAATCGTACGTGCTTCCAACGGCATAGGGCGGGCGCAGAAGGCTTTATCCGCCCTGCTTCTTCCGGTATAGCGTAAGCCGCGATAAGCTGACGACCTGGACAAATCTACAAAAATCTCTTATTTTTTATTTTTTTTGCAAAGTTGCTGCACGCGAAACCCAAGCACGTTAGCTAGCCGCGATAAACGAGGGCGCACGTCCCAATCCCTTATTGTAACGTAACGTCGTGGTTTGCAATCGCGCTGGTTGAGATATTTTAAGAGAAAAAGCGGACTGTAAGCAGTCTAGGAAAAATCCAGCTGTTTTAACAGACGAAACTTAACTATAGAAAGAAAACAGCGACGGCAAAAGGGACTTCGAGCTTTCCCGAATTTCTGACGGCTTGATTGCTCGAAATATCGGGAAAACTCAAGTTGCTTATTATTTGCTTTTCATTAGACTGCAAAACAGTCGGGGTTTTTTCCTCAAAATCGGTTTAGCAAAGCGTAAGAGTCTCACGTTCACGCGTTCCTGAATACAAAAAAATATGGACTGTTTTGAAGTCTAGTTTTTCATCTAATATACCGTCATCGAATCTCATCGGCCCAACCCACCATTCTTTGTTTTCTTTTTCATCCTTTATTTACCCCCTCCCCCCATCCCTTCAACCACATCATGCTGTACTTACCTAACTACCCCTCCCTACCCTCTCCTATTCCTTCCCCTCCCCTCCCGGCTCTTCTCCATTAGATAATACCCTCTCATTCTTGTGTTTATTAACCTGACACCTGTGTTAGTTTGAATAACCACAGAAAGTGAGTTCTTAAATTATTATTTGCTAAATGAGAATGAAGTTCTTTGTTTGATAATTGAAAGTTAGACGTTTTCTTCAATATGCAGACAGGTTCTGGATATCTTATTGACGCAATTAAAAGCTACAAAACAAATATTTCTAATAATATTGACAGTCAGCGTTTGCCAGACATGATCATCATAGTCACGTTTAAGATTTTTATCCAGTGGTAATTCGCCAAACATTTGGAACATCGATGATGTTTTCAAGCTCAAGAAACAACATGCTAAACACTGAGCTCCGATAAATCGACTTAACGTAGATTGCTTGGTTATAATACCACTTTTTCGTCATGTATTTAGGTAAGTTTTCTTTCTTTCTTAGCAAGTGAATCATGAGTGTTTTCAAGAACCATAATGACTCTTGGTGTTTTTTGCTCTAACTTTGATCGTTGGAGTAACAAAATTAAAAAATTTAGCTCAGCACTGATCATTAAAACCACACCAGGGTCTTAGCCCACTACATTTTCTTTGTTCCGAATAAATTTTGACTACACTCCTTTTGTCTTACAATTAATGACATGAATGCATCAGTATTCTTTCATTGAAGTTAAATCGTTAATTTTCGTTAAAAAGGCTACGTTATTTTACATCTGCAATTCTTTTTATTATCTTTCACTTCTCCTTTTCCGCTTCCTTTGTATGTGTATGTCGAACTAAACTTGCATCTGTGTCCTCTCTGAGCCTCCATCTCCAACCGACTGGTTTTGACTCTCTGCGGACACAACGTATTTACGCTTTGGACTATACCTTGCAAATTAATTAATTTAACAGACTCCTGTTACTACTTATCACAAGTAAGATCGCGGATACGCCGAAATACTTTACAAGATTTTCACTTTATGTATAATTTCCCTGCTTTCATATATTCTGCGGGCGTCGGATCGATTCTGACGCATCGACGTTCGGTCTTCTAAACAAATTTGAAAGACATTTTCTGTTGCAATTGTTGCGTTTACATCGGAAACCACGCAAAAAGACGAATTTAATACCAATCCAACAACTGCAAAACATTTGTAACTTGAGAAAACAGTCGACTTTTCGCGAAGCCAGCTACAGGTTTCCATGACGTCTGAGGAACGAGCGTAGAAATTCGATATTGATGACGTGTCTCTACCCAAATCTGGTTAGTGCTTCTGATTGGTTAAAACAAATTTCACTCACGGTACGACCAATCATGGAGCACTAACAAGATCTGAATAGTATCCCGTCATCAGTATAGGCGGAATTTCTGCCCTCCTCATTTTTCACATCCTCGGAGACTCAAGGGCAGCTAGTCGGGTCGATAAATTAAAATGTTCATGGTGAAATTTAAATGCCACGAACATTTTATCGACCCGACTAGCTGCCCCATGGTCACCGAGGATGCATTTTGCGAGGAAACTATGATGGCGTCTCGAAATATCGACTGCTTTCTCAGGCTAAGACTATATGTATGTAGAGAAGAATTGGCTGAATTATTTTTATACTGATTTATTATTATTTGAATTAGTTTTATACTGGCATCATTGTCAATTTCGCTGTTTTTCTTTTACAGACTTATCCGCAGTGACTCGAAAGAACGGTTTTCAAATTCCGTTAGCTGTGGTGTATTTCATATTATCTCAGAGATGTATCTTTGGATCAAGTACGTAACGCAATATTAATTTAGTATTAATCACTCCCTGTGACCAGTACTTTCCGCCGTTTATAGTTTCTATTTTTATTGCTACGTCAAATACAACCTTCGAGAGACTGGCACATGTTAGGAAACAAAAAACAAGTGTTGTACATACTGAATAATTCAACGTGACGTTTTTATTGGTCAATAAGATCAAAATGATAGGAATGTTATTGAATGTTGTGCACCATCAGATCCACAAAAACATATGACAAAGGAGTCTGACGGGTTTCATAAACATTCCACTCTTAGCCTGCGTAGCAGGCGCTTGGAAGTAGTGGGCACAAGAAAAAACGGACGCGCGGGAAGGAGACACGCGAGGGGAGAGGGAGCGTGTCTCCCTCGCGCGCGCCCGTTCTCTCTTTCACCTACTACTTCCAAGCGCCTGCTACGTAGGCTATTCCACTCTATTAACTATGGTTAAATACAACTTCTCCCCAGAAAAGTAGTTGTCTAAGGCACACCAAGTTGACAATTAATTTTAGCAATTAACAAAGACTCCACGAACCTCTTAAAAAGCAAGCTGACCAACCTCTTCCTCAAGTCCTGGTCTTCTTGTTTTCAACAAGAAGAGCCTGGGGACACGTTCGTAAGAGGACATTAAACGTTTTAAATGAAAACAGCTGGTTAGAGGGGTGTCTAAATTGAAAACAAACCAGCTTGTTGACCATTACTGTGTGTTTTTACGGTATATTCAGAATGCACTTATGCTGAGGTAACTGCTGCAAAACCATGTGGTGCAGATAACGCTAAACCAGCCGAGGAGGAGTGTGGTATGATGAGGAGCCAGTGTTGCCTCAAGTCAGGTAGTAATGGAGATTCATCCAAGTGCTTTAAGAAAACAAGACCTACAGATCAGTCAGGGGATCGAGGTAACTGAATACGATACCGTAACTCAGGGCCCAGTTGTTCGAAGGCCGGTTAGCGCTTAACCACGGTTAAATTTAACCCACGTTTCTTTCTTCAAAAGCATTTTCTCGGATAATTTTCTCTGTTATTTTTAAAAGCATCCAATCATCAACTTGTTGACAAAAAGAATTGAACGGAATTTATTTTTTAAGCTTTCATATCTAAATTCAAATTTCGCTTAACCCTGGGTTTTCTTAACCCAGAAATATTTGCAAGCCAAGGCTTATGTATAACAGAATGATGAATTACATCGAGAAACACAATTTAATTTACTTTCCCTAGTACGACTTCCTCAAAAAACATTCCACTCAACATGCATGCTATATTAGGCATCGTTAATGCTATTCAGGCTAACATGAATCAAGGACGTTTGTACTATACTCTTCTGGTGTGTTCATTGACCTCAAAAAAGCTTTTGACACCGTTGAACATAATATTCTGCTGGATAAACTCATTTTCTAGGCAACTTCTATGGCTTTGGTGGATTAATCAAACAATGATTTTCCTCATATCTCAGTAACAACCTCCTTCCCAGGGTTCTCTCCTACCCGTCCCTGCGGGTAGGAGAGAGAACCTGGGAACAAGGTTGATCTTAATAATCGCACTCAAACTACTCACATTACCGATTACATATCCAAATATAAAAGCCACAATAAGTCTACAATAGGCTCCACCTCTTTTCTATTTTCTAAAGTGGCAAATTAAACTGATCGCTC